ATAAAACATGTAGACAAAAAATAAAGATACAGTACCTCTTAAACAACATGGTTAACCAAATTCACTCAATTGACATAGAGAACACTGCACCTGATAATTCAGTTTTTAATCATGGTAAAACATTACATAACATAAATTAACCATTTACAGTTCAAGTACATTCACATTGTTGTGCAACCATCACAATCCATCTCCAGCAATTTATTTTTAAATTCACAGAGAACATACAACAAAGCTGACCATACAATGGCTCTTAAAGTTAGTAAAAACAAATTCTCAAAAGATTATAGTAGTAGAGAATGTATTCTCTAATCCATAAAGTATATCCTGGAAATTAATAGCAAATAGAAAACTTGAAAAACCTCAACTCCTTGGAATTAAGCAGTATATTTCTTAATAGTTATTGTATCAAGAAAAAAAACAGAAGGTTTAAAAAATAGTTTTGAATTAAATGGAATATTTCACCTATCAAAACTTTAGTGATAAGCCAGATGTGACGGCTCATGAGTACAATGTCAGTACTCAGATACTAAGGCAGGAAGATCCCAAGTTTGAGCCCCTCCACCCTGGGCAAATTAACATGAACCTATCTTAAAATAAAAAATTTAAAAAATTCTGTAGCTCAGCAGTGGTGTGCCCCTACATTTAATTTACTAGTATTGCAAAACAGAATAAAAACCGTAGCATTGTAGCTAAAGGTACAATTGGAGAAAATAATAAATCCAAGTAGAAAAAAAAAGGCTTAAGATTAACAATCCACAATTTTTTTCTTGAAAGTGATATTAGTTGTCAATTATTTATGTCACTAGACCTTTTTTTCACTATTGAACTTGAGTGATCCTTTGTCCTTTTCTAGAAAGTACGAGTTTGGGGATTGGAGTAGGCAGAAGAAATGTGTTCTGTGTCCTGTTCTGTGTCAGTGATGGAAAATGCTGCTGCTTTCTGTTCTGCCATCTGAGTGTGACAACAAAGTGGAAACACCGTGCTCAGTTTCCTTTTGGAAATGTCAAGGGGAATCCGTCTCGCTTCCAAGCTGCATTGCGGGCTAAGAACCTACTTCTTCCTGAATGTGGCAGAAAGTTTTATGATTCTCACCCCCAGACATGCACAGTGAATCACTTTCCTAAGATTCTGTAATACAGTGTTGACTCTTAATTTTGTTTTAATCATTTAAGTTAGATATCAGCTCAGAAGCCAAATTTATCCTGTTCTTATTTTAGTTGTGAAAATAAATTTCAGCACAAGCAGCCATCCAGTAATGTCTTTGCCACCTCGTCTGTTGGAGCAGATTCCTCCTGAGATGACTTGGGGAAGGTACTCTGTGATTTCAGCATGTCAAGCACACATCCATGTGTTATGAAGACATGGCACATATGGCAATTAGCAAAAAAAAAAAACAGATTAATAGGACAAGTGCATTTTGAGTGTGTTCTTTATTTTCTCCAATGTGTTTAGATTTTCATATTAGTTCTAGGGAAAAGAATTGCAACTAAATTTTGGATGAACTAGTTTCCTAGACTAACCTTTCCTTTATACCACATTATTTTATTTTTCTTCCAGTGGTATTTTTGATGCTAAGCCTGATGAACTGAACTATTGTAGGAGACTACTTCTAGCCACATCTGGAAGTTATTGGATCAAATTAGTCTCTAAGTTTCATTCACTTTTCCTCCTCCTCTTCCCTTCGTGGCCTCTAAGCTAATTCTGGGCTTAAACTTTGTTGTTCCCCTCTTCTTCATCTGAGGTGCTATGAAATGACTTCAGTGCTGGTTGACCATGCAGCCCCCCTGCTCTGCTTTCCCTTCGCTGTCACAAGATGAGCAGATTGGTTGGAACTTGCTTTCGCTCATGGAATTCAGCTATGTTTTCCCAAATGATGAGATGGGGAAATAAGAAGAACCTGCCAGCCATGCTATTAACAAACGTTTATAGAAAACAGAAAACATTCTATGTTACACTGAGAATGCTATGCTTAACACCCTATTGCATCCATGATCTCTTTACAGTCAGCCTTTCTGGTTCATGAAAATGATCTGATTCTAATGCTTCTCATGGTGGCTTGAAAGAATCTGGAGGACTCTTTCAGGATCAGAAATCTGGCTCAGTAAAACTTATACTCCATCATTAAACAAAAAACAAAGATCAAATACTAGTATGGTAGAGTGGTGACTCTCAAATTTTTATGAGTCTAATTATCACCTGGAGAACCTGTTAAAACAGATTATTGATTATTGATCCCACCTTCAGATCGTTTCATTCAAGATCCAGCTGATGCTGATCCTGCTTATCAAAAGACAGTGCCTTCACACCCAGTGTGAAGCCTGGATCTTGATCAGGAAGTGGAGCTGTGGAACAAGAGAACAAGCAAAAGAAGGGGTTTTCCATTAATTTATAGATATTGAAACTAGTCATTCACAATGAAGCTAACATTTCAGTTGCATTATTCCAGATTTAGGAGAAGAGACATTAGCCAGATTAAACGAAACTACATGATAAGACATTGAGACTAAGCTTTGAAGAAATTGCACGAACACCAAAATACAGATTTAAGCATATTTTCAGAATAAAACTAGAATTAAACTATTTGTACCTCAGAGACATTAGTGCATGGAAGTTTTGTTTTTGGTGCCAGGGAAAATAGAACTCAGGTCCTTGTACTTGTGAGGCAGCAAACCACTGAGCTAAATCCCCAGCCCATATGGATATTAATCTTTGTTTCCTTACCGTTTCAAGTCTCCTTGTGTTGAATGCATTACAGTTGCATTCTAAAGTTTGTGTGTCAACTAGAAAGTAGGTAGGGTTAGGATTAGAATTTTTGGCAGAGTGGCAAACTGTATACCTGGCCAATAATTACTGATTAGAACTAAAAATGCTGCATGGATTATAAAAAGGCTTAAAGTTTTCTTTTTTTCAGCAATAACATGAAAGGAAGGAATAAGTAAAGGCTAAACAGAAAAGATAATATGAAATTAAATGTGTAAATTAGCACCAATATTGTCTTGTGCTCTGGTGTTCCTGATAAACTTTAATAACTTTGAATTATGTCTTCATTGTAAATGGATGGGAAAGGTTGGGTACAACCTTTTCCTAGGTGTCGCACAGGGTTCGCCTTATAAATTTAGAGTCCCAAAGGAATGTAATATGGGTCTGAATGTGAATGAGGAAGAAAATCAAAAGGATGCAGCTAGGATAAAAATTTATCATTGCTGCTGGGCAAAGAGGGAAAATATTTCCCTAGAATTAATGGCCAGCACCCAGCCCTTAGGAGGGTCTGAAGTCAGAATTGATACTACCTACAAAACCTATAATAAAATTCAACTAGGGAATTTACTTGAAAATGGTTCTGGGTTAATTTGAAGCTTGATTTTTTTCCCTATTTTTGCTAAAATATTTACTATAGTACACACATAAAAAATTCTAAAAGATGAAGTTTCAAAGCAAAAAGCTCAGTCAAAAATCATAAAACCATATTGTGGCACTCTGCACAATAGCTAACATATGGAAACAGCCTATGTGACTATCAACAGATGAAAGGATTAAAAAATGTAGAGGGTCAGGGGAAAGGAAAGAAGGAAAAGAAAAAATATGAGAAAAGGAAAAAATGGAAACAAAGTCTCTGTAAATAGGGAAGGGTGGAGGGGGTGAAAGGAGGGCAGGGGAATGGGGAAAAAATAAGAACCAAGATACATCTTGTATAGGTGCAAGATTCCAATGATGAATGTAACTGTATTTTATACCTACAATACACTAATAAACTTAATGGAGAAAAAAAATGTGGTATTTACTCAATGGAGTATTGTCCAGTCATAGAGAGAAAGGAAATTCTGTCATTAGCAGTAAGATGGATGGAACTGGAAATATGTTAAGCAAAATAAGCCAGACACAGAAAGACAAGTAGTACATGTTCTCTCCCTAAGAAATGTGACCTAAAAGTAGAATAATGATTAACTAGAGGTCAGGTAGGGAGGGGAACTGGCAAAGAAGAAGGTTGGACATGATCAGTGCATATTATATGGATTATATAGAAATATCACTTGGAACCCATTAAAACATACAATGAAGGCATTTTAATAAAAAAATTAAAATCAAGCCCACAAGGAAATAAAGCAATGTGAATAAATGCTGGTAGAAAACACTGAAGGCAGAATCAGATTTTCAAATTCTTTATTGAAATTATCAGACATACAAGTTAAAATAGCATGTTCAATATATTTAAAAAACAAAAAGAAAGTTTTAAAAAATGAGACAGCAATAAGCAACTATAAAGGATGACTAGAATGATTTAAATGAAATAATCAAATTAAAATTTCTAGGATTAAAAAATGTAATAACTGAAATCAAGAACCCTAGATTAAAGAGCAAGGCAGCCAGATTCAAAAATAGATTAGAGCTAGTTTAGTGAACAGGAGGAGTTATCAGAAATAACAGTAAAGGCCAACTGAGACTGCAGATGAGAGAGGCAAATACCTGGATATATAAAAGAAAGGTTAAGAGGTATGTAGGGTAGGAACTATGGGTCTATGCACATGAACTATTTCTTCTCTGCCATGTAGCCCTGCCTTGGAGCCAGCCAGTTACAGACTGAAGCCTCTACAAACTGGGAGCTAAAAAAATAAGTCTTTCTTCTTTTAACTAGTTAAAGAAATGTGAAAGTAACTAAGACAGTTTGTAATTTAAGAAATACAGTTGTCTGTCAGTGTGTATGGGGGATTGGTTTCAGGACCCTGGAGGAGTCTGAAATCTAAAGATTCTTAAGCCCTTTAATATAAGAAGGCATAGTATTTGGCTATAATCTATGCAAATCCTCCAAGATGCTTTAAATAATCTTTATCTGGTTAGTTGAACAAATGTGAGTAGCCATCTCCTTACATCCTGGTAAGTAGTTGTGTCAAAGAAGAAATCACAAGGTTGCATGATAATAATCATTTTTGTATCAAAACTATAAGGTAAAATGTATTATAAATCAGTGCTTACCAGAGGCAGATGTAGAAGAGTGTAAAATGTCTGGAGGCCCAAAAGATCCAGGCAAGGGCTTGGAGCCCATGGCAATGTCCTATACAAGTCCATATCAAGGGTTTGCACCAGAAAGGTCCAAGGGCCAATGGAGGAGGCTAGAAAGTTTACACCGGCAGGGCGAAGGATCTATGCCAGAAGGTGGAAAGATCTGCACTGGAACCCAGGAGATGATGTCCAAGATGAAGGTGAGGATTGAAGTTCTCCCAAAGGAAGACAGCAGCCAAAATTTCTTTGAAGAAAAACCACCAAAAAGCAACTTCTTCAGGAAAATCAGCAGCGTGCAATCTTCCCCTCCTGTTGTCCTTTTATGCTATTCCTGCAATGATCCTCAGGTGGGTCTTCCACACCCGGAACCATGCTGACTCAGTTCTGCTGGGTGTTAACACTCAAGTTGACCATTAATTAATCCACCACAATAAGACATCATATCTAGATATAAATTTATAGTCATAAAATACTTTCATCAGAAAACAAGAAAGTTCAAAATTAAATAAGCCTCCAACTTTAGAAATCAGAACAGCAGGGTAATATAATGTCCAAGAAAATAGGAAAACTAACAAAGATCACAGAAGGAACATCACAGAAAATAAATATATAATACAGAAGATCAAGGGCCAGGGATTTAGCTCAGTGGTTCTGGCATCTGCCTCACAAGCATAAGGACCCGAGTTTGACTGCTGGTACCCACCCCCACCAAAAAGAAAACAACAAAAAAACCCCAAAAACAAAAACCAAAAGCCTCAACTTGTTGGGCCAACATAATATAGAAGATCAAAAGCCAACAGCTGATTATTTGTAAGCATTGTCTCTGGGAAGATTAGTCAATGAAACAGAATAGAAGACAAAATCAGTGAGGGAAAAGATAGCAGACAAAACTGTAAATGCCATAGAGATGAAAAAGGGGACTGCAGCTAGATGGGGAAATAAAATACTTCCACGACAAAGAGCACCTGAGAAATTTCATGAACACCAAACCAGCAATGCAAGGAATTCTAAACAATATCCTAGAAAAGGACAATGAAATTCACAAAAACATGAGGCCCAACAGACCAAATCAAATAGGTAAGGCAAGAAACTAAAAGGAGATGGGAGAAAAAGTAAAAAGAGTCAACAAAAGGACAACAACATGACAAGAATAAGTCAAAACATATCAGTTATAACCATCAATGTTAATGGCCTCAATTCACCAATCTAGGGTAATTCTTATGAGACTTCAGTCACATAAGGGCGGCCTCTGAGCAGAAAACTTCTTTCCTAGTGGTTTGTGTTATTTTATTTTAAAGGCAGTATTCCAAGTGCAGAAGAATTTCTAGGCCAGAGTTTGATGCACTGAGTGAACCAAAACGAAAGGAGCAGCCAGCATAGACGGATCGTCAAGGAATCTGGAAGAAGATCCAAAGGAAGATTTGATCCTTTGATGACTCAAGCACCGAGATGTTTCTGAGAATGGATCGGGATGACATGAGCCTCAAAGTCAGTAAATGGGAAGGAGGAATAGAAGAGATTCTCTTGCTCCACAAGAATGGGGTGTAATGAGCTGAAAATAGAAGGGAAAGGGGTGAAAAGGATGATTAAATATTGAAATTCAGACTCCTGTCTGGGATTGAGAAACTTAACTCTACAGGTGGTGTCTGTCCTGGGATCGTGGCTCTGAGCTGCTTCTGTTGGTCCTTGACTATTCTTGCAGCATTTCTTCTTAGATGACCGCCCAGGTTGTGTCACTGCTCACAGTGGAGTCCCTGAGTCTGGGACCATGGCCAGCCAATCCTAATGGCAATGGTGGATGAAATGCTGACAACTGACCTCTGTTCTTTATAACCTCTTCATTTGGTTCCTTGGATGTGTACTTCCTGTCTTTAACTCACTTCCCATCCTAACTTCTGTTTTTCTCCTCCTGCTCTGTGCTCCCCTCCGTCTCTCTTGGGCTCATCTTTCTCTTCTTTCGCTTACATCCCTAACATCTGTTCACTTCTTACTATGGCATGAGCCAGATACTGGTAACTTTTGCCATCAAAAGGCCAGGTAATGAATATCTTAGGGTTCTTGGGGTACACAGCGTCTGTCACAGCTATTCAACTATGATTTGAGTTAATGCGGCTGAAGGCAGCAGGTGAATTGATAAGGGTGTTCATGTACTAATTAAATTTATGAATACCGGAATTCGAATTTCTTATCATTTTCACGGGTCACAAGATAATACTCTTTTCTTTTGCTCTCTCACCTATTTAAAATTTCAAAAAACAGTATTAGCTCATGGGTGTATAGTTTACTGAACCATAATGTAGAATCCTAGAGGAAGAAGAATGTGAATGACAGACTTGCCACCCTCCATTTCCATCCTTAGCTGTGTGATGGACACAGTGTGAGCTGCAAGCAGAAGTGGCAGGGGTACAGATGAGAAAGGGAGCGCATCCCTGGAGGAGGTAATGTCTTCCTGGCCCCGGAACGTGGGTGGCTTTCCAAAGCCTATCATGAGATCACCCTCTGAAACATTCCCAGCTCACTTTCTTTCCTAACTTAAAGCCTCACTCAAAGCACCTGCTTTGAAAGATCCTGAACTATCCCAGTGTGCAGACTCTGGTACAGTCCAGACCTCTCCCTTTCTGGTGATATTCCTTACAGGAGGCTTGGAGCGCTAACTGTACCCTGCAGAACATGGAGAGAGAAATAGTTGAGCGAACTGTAGTGTTCCGCTTACGAACTCAAATGAATAGCTGAGCTCTGGCCTCAAATACCTCGTCTCAAGCAGGTGGTTACAGTCTGGGTTCCATGAATAGAGAGGGTAAATTCTTGCTGGTACTTTCTTGGTATGATCCAGCCTAAGAAAGCTTAGGTGGCCCGATCGAGACCTTATTGTTGTCCTTCCCATTCTTACATGATGCAACTTGCATACCAAAATATGGGCCTTTTCTGGTGTCAGGTCCCTTTCTCTCTCTCTCTCTCTCTGACCAGAGAACTGCCTTTAAAATAAATTAAATTTTGCCTTAGGGTGATGCACAGAGTTTTCATTTATTTCCCTTAATGTCTTATTCTAATACTTGAATGTGTGCATTAAAAAATAGGAGGCTTAATTTATCACAGTGATCATCAAGAGATACTGTGGCTTTTGTCTTTGAAATTCTAATGATTAGATGGCATTATTATTATTATTTTCATTAAGTTTATTAGTACTTTTTAGGTATGCAGTACAGTTACATTCATCATTGGGATCTTGTACCTTTATATGATGTATCTTTATTCTTATTTTTTATCCATACACCTGATCTCTCTTCACCCCCATCCACCCTTCCCTATTTACAGAGTCTTTGTTTCCATTTTTTCCTTTTCTCAATTTTTCTTTTTCCTTCTTTCCTTTCCCTTACCTTTCCCACTTCCCCTACTCTTTTAAAGCTTTTCTTCCTATTTCACATTATCAGTTATACAATTCGAACCTTATTTACACTCAGTTTTTCACACCAGAGAAACTATTTGGTATTTACACATACATATGTGTCCTATTTATTTCATTTAAGAGTATGTCCTCAATATACATCCATTTAGCTATAAATGTCTCCAGTTTCTCATCTTTTATGGCTGAATAGTACTCCATTTTTTAGAAAGACCACATCTTCTTTGTCAGTCTCCAGCTGATGGGCAATGGCTGTGTCCAAGTTTTAGCTATTATGAACCATGCCACTAAAATGCAGGTGAGCGTATATCATTGTGGCATGATTCTTTTAATTGTTTTGGAAAGATACCCAGCAGAGGGATAAGGTGGCATTATTATTTAAAGCTGGGGTCTGAGGGCTGGGAATACCCTGTGAAGGACCTCAGCTCAGGGTGGCATTTTTTACACTAAGAATAGGTCTTCATCTCCCAATGCTGCCACCAGTAAAGAATACTGATCTTGAATTTAAGAAGTAGAATAAGATTTCACTCTGATTATTTGCTAACTTTTTTACTTTGGAAAGATCACTTAACTTCTTAGGAAGTCAGGCACAATTATTCATTCTTTAAAATAGAGACAATAGTTTTTAATTCATGATCTTGTTGAGAGGTCATGGTGAGATAATTGATGGAAGAGGCCTTTACACAGTATGACACTGAAGAACCTTCCTGGAATGGCCTCCAGATCACTCAGCTGCTTTGGAGCTCTCAAAATTTTTACTGGAGAAGGAAATGAAGGTCAAGGAAGAAAGCAAAATGATTCCTGGGTCTGGTATAAGAATCTACATCCTTCTTTCTTCCAGTGGATCTTCCCATAGCATATAAATCTCTCCCTCCCCCAGGTTCTATGCTACTGCTCAGCTTTGGTCTACAAATTCTAGTACCCTTCCTTTATAGGAGCCAGCAGTTCACTCTGAATCCCCCTTCTTGGCCCCTATGGTTGGGAAACGTTGGTACTTTGAGAGATCAGCCTCCTTCACAGAGTGTCCTACAACTTCATCCTCTAGGCAGACAAGGGTTGCTCCTCCTCTGAGTCACATACTATACACAGGTTGTAATTATACAGGTGTTTGTGCAGTTATGCAAGCATTTCTTGGGTGAAAATGTGAAGGTGTGTGTGTGTGTGTGTGTGTGTGTGTGTGTGTGTGTAGACTGTAACTGCTTTGAAATGTGCTTCATTCAGTGCCTGAGCAGTTCTGGGCCCACAGCTAATGACTGATAAATAGTTGCTTACTAACAAATAAGTTAGTTCATATGGAGTGTTTGAATTTGCAGTTTTCCATGGTTCTCTCTCTGATGGCTTCAGAGCTCTGGGTTTGCTCAGAATTTGTTCCCAGGCTGGTTTGCAAGGTTGTTAGCAGAGACTTTGCATATATGTAAGTTGTTTGCTTTTCCACTCTTTGCTCTCCCACCCACTCCCTTGCTGAGGGCCCAGGGGAAATTAGACCTTCATGAAAGCTCCTAAGCTGGGCCCTTCTCCCACCCTGGAACTGATTAGAGCTGCCTGTCTCCAGGTATCTTGATAGGCACCAAGGTCCTCTCAGGTTATGTTCTGCTACTGCAGAATATTATTTCTGTATTGAATAAATGGGCCCTCTTTATAGGTAGAGGAGAAGGGTTTCCTTGTTTTGACTACTGAAATAATATTACAACTCACTCAGGGCACCATGTGCTTAGCTATCAGAGTAAGGAGGAATTAGTTTGCAAAGATTTAATCGTCTTCTCTATGGGAAAATTCTGCCAGGTGGTTGTTCTCCTCTGGGGTAGTGTTTCCTTGTGGCAACTCAAGCAGCAGAGAACATTTATTTGTCCTCTTTGAGGGGCTGAGTGTGTCTATGCTACTCTGTGGCTTTTGCAGACAATGGCTCACTGCCTGATTAGTACTCACCATCACCTTTGTCAATAG